CTCTGGCTAAGTCGATCTACATGGTGGGCTTCCTTATTTCTGTGGTTTTCTTTGGCCAACTCTCGGACAGGTAAGTGATTTAGAAATCAGTCAAATTATTATAAGATTTTGCAACAACAAATAAACCAAATAAATGTTTTTTCACTTCTTGGACCAATGGAAGTATACAAGCCGACCTGAATTCATCCTTGCTGACAGCTTGTGTTACAGTTATTTCTTTAGAAAACAAGTATATATTACGTAACATATATACAAGTATTTCGTTGAAAATAAATATAGTAAAATTATAAACAAATATACTAGTATATTGTACAACTCATTTGTGATTGAGTGAAGGACATCTCGCATTCATTCACAATTTTTAGACTGAAATTTTCTGTGTTTCCTCTTATTAGATGTGTACGGGTTCACGACCCCAGGGTGACTCAGTGATCTTTTCCTTCATAATTCGTCTCCTTTTTTTTTTTTTTTTTTTTTCCTTTTTCATCGTCTAGATCAGGGGTCTCCAAACTTTCCAGCCTTAGGGCCATACAGTTTACTCCAGTAAGTACCAAGGGCCAAAGCAGTTTTAATTTTTATGCCATTATCTATAATTTATTGACTAGTCGCTGAGCACGCGCTCTGAGCGAGCATATGCTTGCTAATTACAAACTATTGTCAGTGAAAAATCCCAATTACATAAATCTCATTAGTATTTTTTTACAAGTGGATATGCCGCTGTTTCATTCGCGTAAATTTAGCTTTTGCGTTCCTGAGGGATTTTCAGGATAAAAATCATACGTTCGATTCAGGATGTATACATTCCAAACATCGATATACATACATATGAGATACTCTTTACCCCAATATAACTACCGAAGTTAACCGCGGAATGTTCACTAGTTTATAATGTTAGTGGGATTTATTTCAATTATATGTTAGTTGTTATGCTTGTTAAATTATTTGTGTATTATGCTTGTCATTAAGCTTTACCTAGCAAGTTAATAAAGCCGAGTTATTATCATTCTGTGTTTTTTATCCAATTTATTACAGCAACAATAAGCTAATCGATGTCGCGGGCCGGATTGATGACACTGACGGGCCGTAGTCTGGAGACCTCTGGTCTAAATCACAGACTTCATTGTTATATCGTATTATTATGTCTCATTAACATCATGCGTTTTCACTACTTTTTGTCATTGATTTCATCTTCAAAGCTCTTTTTCTTTTCATCATAAATTTTAAAAAAAAAGTTAGTCATGGCCAAATCTGGCCTTTGTGCCATAAAACTCAAACCAACCAATCTAATTAGATGACAAAAAAAAAAAAAAAAAAAAAAAAATCTTTAGGCCTGATAAATATCTAGACGTTTTCAGGTAGACATTTTTCCCTCCGATAGTTTTGAGTCAATAACTTCTCCTCAGAAAAGTAAAGCTGAAAATTTGACTAAAATTACTGCAATGGCAAAAAAACATTTATACACCGTGTCTCGGCATTAAGTAAATAAATTTATTGGAGATATAGAATTCTCCTCGATGACCCAAAAATCCCATATCAATGTCAAGTTAGAAATAAAAAAGAAACGTTGTTAGTAATAAAAATAAACTATGAATGCATATCATTCTCACGATATCCCCCAGAATCTGCAGTGATATATCTCTGGATTTTCCCAAACACTTAGGAACTTCTTTAAAGAGCATTTTAACCACATATTTCCCTTCTTTATATGTATAAAAATAATTCTTATGTTCTTCACATATCAGGGCTTCGTTATTGTAAGGAATGTCCGTTTCTATGTTTTCTACTTCCCAAAAGCTATTATTAACAGTTTTGTCCAGCGGTTCATAGTTGTCTCTAATTAATCCACAATGAATTTTCTCATTTAAATCTTTAGGAACACTTTCGGAAATAAAATATCCCAAGCCCAAATTTTTGTAAAACTAAGCTTCCAAGGGGATATATTTGTCCTGATCTTAAAAAGGCTATAAAAAAACTCTGCGCCTAATAAAATATTTATTCTATCTGGATTATTAAATTGTTGATCCGCTAATTCAATATTATTCAAATCATACATATACTTTTAATATTTTACTATGAGTTATATTAGTAATTGAGGGAACGATTAAAAATTTTTTAAGCTTTTGATTTATTTTTTAATTTGGCAGTAACTTTGGATTTAAAGACAAATTATTTAATCCCGATACCACTAGATTTGTTTTTCTTTCAAATTAAGCCTTTAGGACATTCTCTCGTTATAAAACAAGCCGTAGAACCTTGACTTAAGACAGCTCTTACTTCTTTGCTGAATCCTCACATAAATAACACTGTGTCCAATAAAAGGTTTTGGATCCATGTAACTGGTAGCTGTGAATAATTTATTACTGTTTTGAGAAGTGTTTCCTTTTGCTGGTATAAACTCTTGAGTGTGAGGAGGAAAGGGAGGTTTTGGAACCAATTTCATTACTTTCTTTTTTCATGCAGCTCATGAGATAATATATTCATATTCTCTGCGTTGACGCCTATGCGTAGGTAGTGTAGACTTTGATGATGTTTTCGTTTGCAAAAACAAGATACTTTTGATTTGTATTTGGAAACTGAACGATTAATCTGTAACAATTAAAGCACATATGATTTTGTTTTACGAGCTCAAGTCTCTCATACACTGATATCTTTAAATAATTAAAACAATTTGAATCTGTTACATCCGAAAAAAAAAAATTCTGAGGCAAATATAGAATTTTTAAAATTAGTTTTACTCTTTTGGAAAGCTAGATGTGCTTTCGTAAATTGGCTTGCCTCACGATGAAATTTAAATATCACATTCTTCCTCTAATTTTATACGGGGGGAAGGAACCAACTATCTGCTTGTCTTTTATTATATTTATGTGAGATGCGACTTCTCCATCTCAAGCTTGAAATAATTTATCGGAAACTATCAATTGTTTTAATGCTTCGAAATCAGCCACCTTTCTAAATTTCAAATATTACTCAAAATGAGTTTTAAAGCACGACGCAAATTGCACATGCGATTAATTTAGATGCTGAAATTTTCTAAAATTATCTAAGCATGTTTGTGGTGAAGACTCATATTCTCGCAACGCAACTGACTTTATCTCCTCATAGTTCATGATATCTTTAATCTATAAAATAGGCTATTACATTAGAAAGCTCTATTTAGTAATAAATTTGACAGAAACTCAGCTTTATAAATCTTGGGTACTTATTTAATACTAAATGCGCGTTCTAATGAAGTAAAGTAAAAATCCCACCATTCCTGTTGAGTGGGGAATTTGACAGTTAAAAGTTTTAATACTTTTTATCACTTGATCATTGGTATCTAGTTTGGCTAACCTTTCATACACTTCCGATTTGCTTTCGCTTAACTTTTGTGAATTCTGATGTATTTTGAAATCGTTCTAATTTTTATTTCAATTCCTTCTATTAGCTCACACTCTCCCTATATATATTTTGTTCAAATTTTCAATCGTTCATAAAACACTTTTATTCATCCACTCAAGTTCAAATGCATTTTTTTTTGAACTTGTAATGGATGACACTTGATGTTAATGCAGTTTTTTCAAATATTAATTCAGTAATTAAATTTTATTACTTAATTTAGTTTTTTTAGATTTAAGTTGCATATATCTATCAATAGATGGCGCCAGATAAACTTAAAAATGAATGAAAATTATTTATAAAGGATGTTCTGCAATATAGTGAAAAAAAGTGGAATTGACTTAAAATTTTTTTTTTTTATATTACTTGTTTTTTTCCAGATTAATTTGACGTTGCTCCTCATGTTTACGATTGCCAATAATAGTGATAAATGAATCTTAAATCATCTTTTGCTCCTTTAAACATGCTCAATGCACAAAAGGTTAAAGCAACTATGTCATACTAAATTTAATATGTTTTCTTTTTTTCCCTTCCTAAATTGTAGAGTGCAAAAAAAGTATTCTATACTAGCAAAAATCAGAAAGCTACTTCCTAAGATTTATTTATAATTAAAGTAAAAGATTACATTATTATCGAATGTACACTGTGCAAACATATATATTATGTATGTTTTAAAGTGCACATATATAATAATAATCTATTTCAAACATTGCAATCGGTACGGATTTGAGGGAGACTGAACAAAACATACAGAGCAGAATATTTTCTTGTAGGAATAGAAAGCTGGATGTTGTAATCATTTTTCTGCAGCCAGTTATAATGCAATGAGAACGTTAAGAAGCTACTAAAACTCAGTAAATGAACTATGAAAGTAGAAAACATCTATTTATATATCCTTTTTAAAAAAAAAATTGTAATTCAAATTTTTAAAAAAGTAACTTTGCAATATACCTGAATCTTCTCTGGAGAATTTGTGCACTAAATGTGGTATCCCTACACTTGCTCAAGCTTTATTCCACTTAGACACATACTACTTACTTTATAGTTATAGAAGTGGTCCTGTAATTTTTTTTAAATTTCTTATTTTCTGAAAAAAATGTATAAAATTATGTTGTATAAATATTTCTTTTTGATCTCTAGTTACGGCCGTTTTCCTGCCGTTGTCATCTCTTACGTTATGACGGTGGTGAGCATGCTACTGGCTCTGCTTTCTTCCTCTTACACCATGTTCATCATACTCAGATTTCTGCAAGCTTTAGGCAGGACAGGACTCACCACTGTTGGATTTGTGTTGGGTGAGTCAATCTGTTCTATTAATGTATCCGTATATAATGATGTTGTTGTTTCTTATCCCACTTGGCTGGCCAAGCCCACGAGCCCATACGTACTCATGATTGAAGGGGAATGAAGCAGCTTCTGTTGTGATGGTAGCACCCATAGGTAGAAGTCTGACTTTGGCTCCGTGACGCTCTTACAGTCATAGGAGACCGGGACCTACGGCTTAAAGTGGATTCTGAACCACTACAAACATCCATGGCACCACCGGGATTCGAACCCAAAACCTGTGGCACCGAGCGCCAGAGCGCTAGACACTCGGCCATTCAGGTCCCAAATTTGTGAATGGCAACGACACGCGGTGTTCCCAGGTGGTCACCCACCCAAGTACTGACCGCGCCCATTGATGTTTGACTTCGGTGATCTAACGAGAACCGGGTATATAATGATAATTGTTATAATTGTCGTATTAATGTATGTGTATATAAGATGCTTGTAAAATAACTTGCGAAATCGCAAACGATGGTTGGTAAAAAGAATATACAAAAATAATATTTTTTTCCCTATAAATAAATTTGCCCGTTTAGATGTTGGTGCCGAAGAAAGATTTGAATGACGGAAAGACAGGTCAAGTTAACGCCGAATATACGTTGGTCTTGACTCAGTGTTATTTCATGGTAGAAACGATTGATCTTTTAAAATGATAATTTTAAACTTTTAGCTGTCATATTTATTAAAATTTTCAGAAGCAGCACTGCATAACTGCAACACATAATACACAAATCGAAATCATATAACAAATATTTACAAAATCATCTTAAAAGCCAGTTCGTTTAAGGATCTTCGTACTCTCCGTACCGGGGACAGCAAAACCAAAGTCTAAAGGCTCGTTCCCACCGAGGCGTGAGGCGACGACGCGTCACGCGGCAGTGAAGGAATTTTTTCGACCCGTTCACACTGAAACGTCAGAAATCGCTTTACGCTTAGTGAAGTTCCAGTTACTTCTACTAGATGGAAGATCTACTATTGGCTTAATCCAAGTCACAAAACGCGGCAAGCATTTGAAAGTTGAATGTTGGTCAACTCGAAGCGGTGGATTTCAACCAATTTCAGGCGAACGCGGGGGAAACTAGTGATTTGTCAACGCTTCATGCTTCAACGTCTCACGCATCGGTGCGAACGAGCCTTAACATAAGGGTCAACTTGTCCTTGAAAGAAATATCTATCAACCTTGAACTCTTCCCCGTTGGCTATATAGTTTATCTCTGGAAGACATGGTGGATCCTTATAGAATGTAAAAATACTTTTATTTTGTAGATGCTAAAAAAAAGCGATTAATAAAAAATCATCACCACGCAATTTCACCAACAAAATGATTCTAATATATTTATTAAATTTCTATTTATGCCATGCAGGTATTTAAAAGAATTAAAACAGGTTTCAATTGTCTTGCTTCGATTCTATCATGACTATTTAAATTGATCAATTTTATCATACAATCTAATAAAGCGTAATGTTATTTTATTCACTGTAGTGTCTTACTTTATTTGTAGAATTTTATTCAATGAATTATCATACAGCAAGTAATATATAGACAATTTATTATTAGTTTTGTCGGCTGTGCAATGGATTGCAACTGAGTGTGGTTGGGTTGAAACATGAGATACAAGTTTGAGAACTCATAGCTTTATTTACTCATGCACAAACACCACACGCATGCCATATTTAACACATTTAACGATATATAATTATAGATAGTGTGAAGGATTCTCCTTCTAAGCCGAAAAAACCTAATACTTAGATTTGCGCGGAATGCAAAAAATATACTAGCTCTCCGGGGAAGAGTCTGTAGGCCAAGTGTAATACAGGGTTGTGTTAAATATATTTCCACTCGGGAGGAGAGATTACAAACTAATCGTTTCTCAGCGGCAGCTCCAGTTACGCTATTCTTCCTTTCAGGTGATAGTCTCGAGGCCTACTGACCATTTCTCCTGAACGCCATAATTGTCAGTGTGTAGGAGGAAGCGCGGTTACAGAATTCTTATAGAAATAAAAAATTAAAATATATAACAAAATCAGGACAGTGCCCAAACAATTGTACTCACATTTTTTTTCCTTACAGAATGAAATCAAATAATGATTCTGAATTGATGCCAAATTTGATGATAATTGATGAATCAGTTATGAAATTGATGATAAAATTGATCATCAAATTGATGATAATAATTTTGTTTCTGTTTCAGTGATGGAAATTGTCGGTCCCAATCACCGGACAGAAACCGGAATCACAATCCAGATTGGGTGGGCAATTGGGTTCACTTCATTGGCTGCTGTTGCCTGGTTCTTTCGACACTGGTTCTGGTTTCAACTGGCCTTGTCGGTACCTATATTACCACTTGCATTTGCTTACCGGTAAATCTTTTTTTACACGTAGAAAAAAATCTATAAAATCAAAACTTATTCCCACAAACTTAATTAACTTAATTATACGAGTTTATTTTTTCCTCTTCTACTTTACATAGCTTTATATGTTATGTCTTAGTAAGATTTAAAAATAAAAATAATTATAATTATAAAATAAAATAAATCATTATTTTATAATAATGTTTCCCAGTTTTTTTTCAATATTATTTTCTTAATAAAATGTCAATATATAGATTTTTTTGTTTTTTTTAAAGAAATTAAGAAATTTTTGTAGAATTATTAATACAGAAATTTGAATTGATTCTTAAAGTGTTAAAAACAAGTACAATGTATAATAGTGAAACTAAAATGGTCATCAGTGCCGGATGGCCGAGTGACTGGCGCTCTGGTGCTCGATGCCACAGGTTTCGGGTTCGAGACCCGGCTGTGCCATTGATGTTTGTAGTGTTTCGGAATCCACTTCAAACAGTAGGCTCCGGTCTAATATGATTGTAGAGTGTTTGTCATAGGCTGACAATTCTACCCAAAAGTAACCTACCTATTACTTAATTACCTACCCTTTTCTTAAGTAAAATGATAAGATAATGAAGAGAAAAGGTTTTTCGAATAATATGAAAATTATCGCGTTAAGCGAATAATTAAGTTCTCTAAAAATCCGAAATAGTATGTTTGTACACTGGTGTCCAAAAGTTAAGCATAATTGATAATTATGTGAATAAAGAAGGAACTGTAAATCAGAATGGCGGGAAACGTGATATGCGAGTGTAAAGTGGGTATAAAATAAGAAAGCAAATCAAAAGAACGATAATAATTAATTTTATTATCCAAAGTAGCAGTTTGAAAGAAAACTGAGCATAACAAGGGTTCACACTTTAAAGAAAAAATGAAAGAAAACATTAAATAAAATACTGATGCTGCAGTTTAATAAGGCGTGTGGTCACCTCTGACAGCCAGGCACGCTGCACAGCGATTTACCACACTTGCTATGAGATGATGAATGAGTTGTGGGCTCAAACGGTTCCAAGCTTCTTGGAGAGCTCTCTTCAGTTCTGTAACGGAACTTGGTGGATGCGAAAGAGCTGCAATTTGTCTCCCGAGCATATCCCATACATGCTCGATAGGATTTAAATCAGGAGAGTTCGCAGGCCACGACATGCGCTGGATGTTTTCCGTTTCAAGGAAGTCATCAACCAGCACCGATCGGTGACATGGCGCATTATCATCCATGAATATGAAGTCAGGACCGACAGCACCTCGAAACAAGCGAACATAAGGCTCAAGAACTTCGTCTCTGTATCTTTGACCAGTCACAGACCCCGTGTCAAAGAAATGGAGGTCTGTGCGGCCGTCCATCATGATGCCTGCCCTATATCATTACTCCCCTTGATGGAAAATGATGTCTTTCCGTTATGTTTCTTGGTTCAAAACGTGTTCCACGTTCTCTCCATATCGTTACCCGACGAGAATCACTACTCAGAATAAACCGGGACTCGTCACTGAACATCACATTGGTCCACACTCCAATGTTGATGTTTCAAACTCCAGTTCAAACGAGCGCGTTTATGCTCAGACGTGAGGGGAATGCAAACTGCTGGTCTTCTGGCATACAGGCCAGCATGATTGAGTCTCCTGTAAACAGTTTGTCTCAAAATTCGTATTCCTGTGGCGACTGTGAGCGCCGAACCCAGTGCTCTGGCAGTACTGCCCCTCTGACGTCGCGCACTTACTATTACCAGATATCGGTCTTGGCTAGGGGTTGGGACTCTTGGTCGACCTGATACTGGTTGTCGGGTAACATCTCCGTTCTTTGAAACCTCTACCATAGTCTTGAGATCACTAGACTGGTCCACATTCAAAATTCGAGACACTTCGGTTTGTGATCGTCTGGATTCCAGCATTCCAACGATTCTTCCTTTCGCAAACATGCCCAATTGGCGCCTTTGTGCCATCATTCACCTTGTTTGATGGTTAACAACGTTCCTTCTCACAGCAGTTGCACGAAACTTGTCTGAACTGCCTATGCTGCATGAATCGGTTTCTCTGCGTTCCGACATGCGCAGGTGTTTCGCGCAAGACGTAGTCGACTGAAACGTTTTGCATAAACCCAATGTTTCTTCTTCACCCAATTAATATCCGCAAGAAATTTGGAATAATTTTACGAATATTTACTCCATGTTTTTCGCATTTTACTATTTATGCTTAACTTTTGGACACCAGTGTAGATGGGCTTTATTAAAATACCTTTCAAAATGAAAGAAAAATGAATACGTTACGTTTATGAAATGAAAAAAAAAATATTATCATTATGTGATTTGATTATTTGTTTTTAAAAATAGAAATCCTAACGATGCTTTAAAGTGGATGAAAGGGAAAAGGTTTCCAAAAAAGAGTGAGATTCACAGCCAGTATTCATCAAACTGATAAATTGTAATTTTCAAATGCTGTGTTGTGTAGAAAGTTAAAAAAAGCTTTTTGTACCGAATTAACTACTCTATGTAATAGACAGACATCACGTCCTAATACTATATATTTGAATGTAAACACCTTTTCAAGAAAAGAATTCTAATTATGATGTTTATGTTCTATTTAGAATGTTTATATTCTATGTTCTATTTAGAACTTATGTTCTATATTCTATTTAGAATGTTTATATTCTATGTTCTCTTTAGAATGTTTATATTCTATGTTCTCTTTAGAAGGTTTATATTCTATGTTCTCTTTAGAGGTTTATATTCTATGTTCTCTTTAGAAGGTTTATATTCTATGTTCTCTTTAGAATTTTTATATTCTATGTTCTCTTTAGAATGTTTATATTCTATGTTCTATTTAGAATGTTTATATTCTATGTTCTATTTAGAATGTTTATATTCTATGTTCTCTTTAGAATGTTTATATTCTATGTTCTATTTAGAATGAATTCTATGTTCTATTTAGAATGTTTAGATTCTATGTTCTATTTAGAACGTTTATGCCCTATGTTCTATTTAGAAAGTTTATGCCCTATGCTCTATTTAG